GAGAGAGAGAGAGAGAGAGAGAGAGAGAGAGAAATGGTGGAGGTAGGGAGAACAGCACATATGGAGGCATAAGTCAACTTAAGATTCAGTTGGAAAAGAGGTTTTACAATTGGTCTCCCATGATTCAGCTCATAAATAAACTACATCAAGAATATTGGTTGGCAAAAAACAGGTGAGTGCAGATCAGAGTGCTCATCAGCAATAATCACTAGAGCAGATTGGACAGCAGCAGGTGGTCTGGCAACAGTTTGGGCAGCAACAGCTACACACAGCAGCTGGGGCGGTAGCATTGGGTTCTGCAGCAGGTGGTCTGGCAGCAGGTGGGGCGGCAACAGCCAGAACCACAGCAACTAGAACCACAGCAAGAGGGACGGCAGCAGCCAGAACCACAGCAGCTAGATCCACAGCAAGAGGGACGGCAGCAGCTGGAGCCACAGCAGCTGGGGCGGCAGCAGGTAGTCCTGCAGCAGGTGGTCTGGCAGCAGGTGGGTCGACAGCAGCTGGAACCACAGCAGGAGGGGCGGCAGCAGCTGGAGATGCAGCAGCTGGGGCGACAGCAGCTGGAACCACAGCAGCTAGATCCACAGCAAGAGGGACGGCAGCAGCTGGAACCACAGCAGCTGGGGCGGCAGCAGGTAGTCCTGCAGCAGGTGGTCTGGCAGCAGGTGGGTCGACAGCAGCTGGAACCACAGCAGGAGGGGCGGCAGCAGCTGGAGATGCAGCAGCTGGGGCGACAGCAGCTGGAACCGCAGCAGCTGGGACGGCAGCAGGTGGTCCTGCAGCAGGTAGTCTGGCAGCAGGTAGGACAGCAGCAGTTCTCTTGGCCACAGCCCTGGCCAGAGCAGATGGAGCCACAACAGGAGTTGACCATGGTGTCAGAGGGTGGAGGTTCTGGGTGAGTTTCCAGGAAGGTAGGTTTGTAAGGTCTGGAAGTCTTCTTGCTTCATGTGCCTTTTATACCCTGCTAAGGGGCTGCTGTCATCAGATGCAACAGTCTTTCCTTGTTATTGTTTGTCCTAATAAATAGGCAATTATCAGATTAGGCTAGTTTGTTTACCTGGTTAAATTTCTCAAGATGGATGGAAAACACTGTTTTTTCTTCCTGCTGTGTTAGGATCCATCTAGTCAGCTCTTCCTGAATCATCTCCTATGTGTCTGTCTTCCTCAAAGAGAGCTGTCTCATGGCATGCTGCCTCTAGTTACTATGCACTTCAGTCTCATTTTGCATAGCACAGCATGTCTACCCTCAGTAATGATGATTCTTATTGGCCCACAATTCTTTCAGATGACCCAGGAGGACAAAGTCGTGGTTTAGTCTGGTGCCTCATCCATTATGGGTTAGGTGGGCAGTGAAGGCTTAAGTATGAAACAGGGACCACTGGCATGAGAACAAGAGGCTATTAAGATATCTCCCCTTCCCTACTGTGAATCATGACCCATTTTCTAGACTTTTTGGTCAAAAACACAGAACTGTTTTAAAGTAGGAAAGTAAGTTGTAAAATTTTGATGTTTCTCTTTTCTCCAGAAACAAACCTCCACAACTCAGTTTTAGGGCCTCTGGGGGAAGTTGGCTGCAGAGATCAGCTCTATTGTAAGGTTCAGATTCCTCAGCTCTCTGCTCTGTGGGGCTGATTTTCATTCTTCCCATGCCGTCTTCCCCGCCCCTTGCTCTAGCAGTAAAACCAAGTCTCCAGACTCTTCCTGGAGTGAGATGGTCCCCATATGAAGCACGCCAGCTTTTACAGCTCTCCTCAAAGGGACTGGATCCTAAATCACCTTGCTCTGGTATTCCTGAGTCACCCCTGCAGCAGGTGGTCTGGCAGCAGGTGGGGCGGCAACAGCCAGAACCACAGCAACTAGAACCACAGCAAGAGGGACGGCAGCAGCTGGAGCCACAGCAGCTGGGGCGGCAGCAGGTAGTCCTGCAGCAGGTGGTCTGGCAGCAGGTGGGGCGGCAACAGCCAGAACCACAGCAACTAGAACCACAGCAAGAGGGACGGCAGCAGCTGGAGCCACAGCAGCTGGGGCGGCAGCAGGTAGTCCTGCAGCAGGTGGTCTGGCAGCAGGTGGGGCGGCAACAGCCAGAACCACAGCAACTAGAACCACAGCAAGAGGGACGGCAGCAGCTGGAGCCACAGCAGCTGGGGCGGCAGCAGGTAGTCCTGCAGCAGGTGGTCTGGCAGCAGGTGGGGCGGCAACAGCCAGAACCACAGCAACTAGAACCACAGCAAGAGGGACGGCAGCAGCTGGAACCACAGCAGGAGGGGCGGCAGCAGCTGGAGATGCAGCAGCTGGGGCGACAGCAGCTGGAACCGCAGCAGCTGGGACGGCAGCAGGTGGTCCTGCAGCAGGTAGTCTGGCAGCAGGTAGGACAGCAGCAGTTCTCTTGGCCACAGCCCTGGCCAGAGCAGATGGAGCCACAACAGGAGTTGACCATGGTGTCAGAGGGTGGAAGTTCTGGGTGAGTTTCCAGGAAGGTAGGTTTGTAAGGTCTGGAAGTCTTCTTGCTTCATGTGCCTTTTATACCCTGCTAAGGGGCTGCTGTCATCAGATGCAACAGTCTTTCCTTGTTATTGTTTGTCCTAATAAATAGGCAATTATCAGATTAGGCTAGTTTGTTTACCTGGTTAAATTTCTCAAGATGGATGGAAAACACTGTTTTTTCTTCCTGCTGTGTTAGGATCCATCTAGTCAGCTCTTCCTGAATCATCTCCTATGTGTCTGTCTTCCTCAAAGAGAGCTGTCTCATGGCATGCTGCCTCTAGTTACTATGCACTTCAGTCTCATTTTGCATAGCACAGCATGTCTACCCTCAGTAATGATGATTCTTATTGGCCCACAATTCTTTCAGATGACCCAGGAGGACAAAGTCGTGGTTTAGTCTGGTGCCTCATCCATTATGGGTTAGGTGGGCAGTGAAGGCTTAAGTATGAAACAGGGACCACTGGCATGAGAACAAGAGGCTATTAAGATATCTCCCCTTCCCTACTGTGAATCATGACCCATTTTCTAGACTTTTTGGTCAAAAACACAGAACTGTTTTAAAGTAGGAAAGTAAGTTGTAAAATTTTGATGTTTCTCTTTTCTCCAGAAACAAACCTCCACAACTCAGTTTTAGGGCCTCTGGGGGAAGTTGGCTGCAGAGATCAGCTCTATTGTAAGGTTCAGATTCCTCAGCTCTCTGCTCTGTGGGGCTGATTTTCATTCTTCCCATGCCGTCTTCCCCGCCCCTTGCTCTAGCAGTAAAACCAAGTCTCCAGACTCTTCCTGGAGTGAGATGGTCCCCATATGAAGCACGCCAGCTTTTACAGCTCTCCTCAAAGGGACTGGATCCTAAATCACCTTGGTCTGGTATTCCTGAGTCACCCTGAGCCCACAGAAATGACAAAGACCATTTGAAACAGGCATGGAAGCACTGCCAGTGGCTATTTCCTCTAGCTCAATGCAGAGCTAGCAGGCAAAAACACCCAGCTGCCAGCTTCTCACTGATAGGGGTTGGAATGCATTTCTAACACCCAGCTGCCAGCTTCTCACTGATAGGGGTTGGAATGCATTTCTAACACCCAGCTGCCAGCTTCTCACTGATAGGGGTTTGAATGCATTTCTAACACCCAGCTGCCAGCTTCTCACTGATAGGGGTTTGAATGCATTTCTAACACCCAGCTGCCAGCTTCTCACTGATAGGGGTTTGAATGCATTTCTAACACCCAGCTGCCAGCTTCTCACTGATAGGGGTTTGAATGCATTTCTAACACCCAGCTGCCAGCTTCTCACTGATAGGGGTTTGAATGCATTTCTAACACCCAGCTGCCAGCTTCTCACTGATAGGGGTTTGAATGCATTTCTAACATTCCAACTTTCCCAACTACTGCCTGTGGGTCAGACTTGTAATTACCCCTCATGTAGGAACTAATGGTGGGGCTGGCAAATGAGCAGTCCTCTGAGAGCTGAAACCATGGGTGAGCGGGCCCTTCCCACAGATCCTCCCCCTGGCTCTCTCCAGAGATAAAAGCAAGCTTCCAATTAACCCTCCTGTCCTTAAGAGCTGGTAGGCCCCTGGGGTGACAAAGAGCAAGCAAAGAGATGGGTTGTAAGAGTGTGAAGTCTGAAAGAGATTGTAGGTGTTTGCCACAGATCTTCTATGTGGCTTAGTGCAGAGTGAGTGGGAGAAAAATACCAGTCCCCAGCTTATCTCTGAGGAGAGAAGGAAGTGGACCACATATCTAGCAGCTCAGTTTTTCCATCGGCATGTTGAGGGACTGGCTTCTATCTTGCCTGTATTGGGGCACCTAAGAACTTGGCACACTCTAATCTCCTGGGGGCCACTGGGAACTAAGACAGCAGTTTGGACAAACAAAAAGGTTTGAGAGGCACCTAGAGTTACTAGACAGGCTAATTGGTGAGGTCCAGCTCCTACATAAGGCTGTTCTGAAAAGACTGGAAGAGATGGCTGTTTTATCTAATGTGCAGAAACCAATACAGAGAGTTAAGGAAAATGAAGAAACAGGGAAGGAATGTTCTAAACAAGAGAACGTGATACAGCTTCAGAAACTGACAAGTTAAATGACCATAGTATTGAAAACAGTGATGACTAAATTATGTTAATGGATTTATAATATAAATAGGTGTAAATTGGGACATTAATAGCATATAATATGGAAGGAAGAGAGGTAAAAGCAGAGAGTTCTTATATGAAAGTGAAGTTTAGTTGTTATCAGTTTACAATAGGCTGCTATAACTATATTTTATGTAATCCACTCAGAAACTACAAAGAAAATAAGGGAAAGGTTGGGAGACTGGTACAAAGTCACAGTTAGGTAGGAAGAATAAGTTCTGGTGTTCTGGGGTGACAACAGCTAATAATATTGTACTGTGTATTTCAAGATAGCCAGAAAAGAGGATCTTGAATGTTATAACTACAAAGAAATAACAACTCTTTAGGTGATGGATATGCTATTCTGATTAGATCACTATGCAGTATATACATGTATTGAAAAAAACAAACTGTACCTCATAAACAGGTACAATGAAAAAAAAAAATCCAAAAAAAAAAAAAAAAAGAAGAAGCACAAAGGAAGATAGGAAGGAGGGAAAAGAGAGACAGAAGAACTACAAGACAAACAGAAAGAAGTTAACAAAATGACAGTAGTAAATCCTTCCCTATCAATAATTACTTTAGACATAAATAGACTAAACTCTGTTATAAAAGTATACAGAGTGGCTTAATGGATAAAAAAACAAGATCCAAGTGCATGAATCTACAAGAAACTCACGTTAGATCCAAGGACACACACAGATTGAAAGTAAAGAGATGGAAAAAATATTCCATGGAAATAAAAACCAAAAAAAGAGCATGAATTGCTATACTTAGGTAAAGCAGACTTTAAGTCAATAACTATCTCTAGAGACAAAGAAGGTCATTACATAATGACAAAAGGGTCATTTCCATAGAAATATTAAGTAATTATAAAAATATGTGTGTCCAACATCTGAGCACCTAAGTACAAGTGTACTTCAAAAAGTTCATGGAAAGATTTGTAATATCTTTCAATTCTATTTCTATGTGAACTTTTTGAGGCATCCTCTTGTATAAAACACATATTGAAAGGTCTGAAGTAGAGAAATAGCAATAGAATTGCAAATCTAGACAGAAAATCAGTAAAGAAACAGGGGACCTGAGCAGTGCTGTGGGCTAAATGTACCTAACAGACATATACAGAACTTTCTATACAAGAGCAGAGGAATACACATTCTTCTTAAGTGCACATGGAACACACTCCAGGATAGAGCATATGTTAGGTTACAAAACAAATCTTAACAAATTTAAAAAGATCAAAATCATACCAAGTATCTTTTCCATCCATAATGGAATAAAACTAGAAATCAATAATAGCAAGAAAATGGAAAAATTCACAAATGTATGGAAATTAAATAACACACTCTTCAAAATTCACTGAGTAAAAGAGGAAATCAAAAGGTAATTTAAAAAATATCTCAAGACAAATGAAAATGAAAACACAACATAACAAAACTTATGGGATACAGCAAGAGCAGTTCTAAGAGGAAAGTTTATAGTGATAAATGCCTACATTTAAAAAGAAGAAATATCTTAAATAAACAACCTAACTTTACACCTCAAGAAACTAGACAAAGAAGAACTAAACCCAAAGTTAGCTGGAGGAAGGAAATAATAAAGATCAGAGCATAAATGAATGAAATAGACACTAGAAAAACAAATAGAAAGTATAAATGAAACTAAGTGTTGGTTTTTTAAAAAGATAAACAAAATGGTAAACCCTTACTGACATATAATAAGAAAAAAAGAGAGAAAACTCAAATAAATGAGATTAGAAGTAAAACAGGAGATATTACAATAGATACTTCAGAAATAAAAAGAATCACAAGAGATTATTATGAGTAATTATTTGTCCACAAGCTGGTTGACTTAGTATGAATGGATAAATTCCTAGCAAACTACCAACACTGAATCAAGAAGTAGTAGAAAGTCTGTACAGAACAGTAACAAACAGGGGATTAAAGTAGCAATCAAAAACTTCCAAACAAAGAAAAGCCCAGGACCAGATGGCTTCACACTGAATTCCACCAAATGGTCCAAGAAGAATTAGTACTAGTCACCTTTAAATTCTTCCAAAAACACAAGTCAAGAGAATACTTCCAAACTCAGTTTATGAGGCCAGCATCACCCTGCCACCAAAGCCAGACTACAACACCACCAGAAAAGAAAGCTATAGGACAATACCTCTGATAAACATAGATGTGAAAATCCTCCATAAAATAATAGCAGACCAAATTCAGCAACACATCAAAAAGATGATACTGCATGACCAAGTTGTACTTATAACTGGGATGTAAGATTGGTTTAACAAATGCAGATCAATCAATGTGTTACACCACATGAGCAGCATGAATGATAAAAACCACATGATCTTTTCAATAGATGTAGAAAAAGCAGTTGACAAAATTCAGCAGTCATTCATGATAAAAACTCTCAACAAAATAAGTATATGAGGGTACTTCAATAATTTCATGGAAAGATTTGTACTATCTGCCAATCCTATTTTTCCATGAACTTTTGAGTTACTTTCATACAAGGAAAGTTTCTCTACATAATAAAGGCCTTTTATGAAGAGCCCACTGCTAAAATCATAACCAATGGGGAAAAACAGAAAGCTTTTCCTCTAAGATCCAATACAGCAAATGTGGAGTACACTAACATTTATAAAGCAAATGTATTTCACAGGGCCTGGTTTCCAAAGCCCTGTAGTTTCAGGTTTAACCTAACTTCTTTAAATTACATATAGAAATGTTAACTTTGCAAAAGACAGGAAACTTTCCCCAGGGTAAAGTCTCTGATATGGATAAAAAATTGTAACATGGCAAGGACAGATGCCCTTGGAGCAGGTTACCCTACTAATT